TGCTGCTGCAGGGTCCTCAGCAGCTGCTGCCCACGCAGTGTGATTTCAAGAGTTTGCTGCTGCAGCAGCTGGTGGGAAAATCGCCTTGCTGGAGTGCGCAGCTGGCCATCGTGGCATCTTTTGTGGTGCTGCAGCAGCTGCTGCAGCCTCTGCTTCTTCAGTCTTTGCTGCTGCAGCTTCCGCTGCTGCTGTACTTGCCCTCGCTGCTGCGCTTGCTGCTGCTGCTTCTTCATGCCTGCACGGAAGTCAACAACGGCAGTGCCTCCAGCTGTGCTAGAGAGGGAACTGCCGCTGCTGTTGATGTTGCTGTTGCTGCTGCTGCTGCTGCAGCTGTTGCTGTTGCTGCTGCTGCTGCTGCTTCTGCTGCTTCTGCTGCTGCTGCTGCTGCTCCGTACAGGATGCCCGCCTGCACTTGCTTTTCCAGCAGACACTGCCTTTCTGCAGCAAGTTGCTTCCTTGCTTCTGCTGCTGCTGCACTCGCCGCTGCTTCTGCTGCTGCTGCTGCTGCCACTGCTGCTGCTCCTGCTCCTGCTGCACCTGCTGCTGTCGCTCGCTAGAAGACTCTCCAGTTGAGGCCGTAAGTGCTGCTCCCAGAAAATGTCTGCTGCTGCCGCTGCTTCTGCAGCTGCTCCTGCTTCTGTTGCTGCGGCTTCTTCCGTTGCTGCTGCTGCTGCTGCTGCTGCGTCTCCACAGGGAGTCAAAAGCCCTCCGCTACTGTCACGCTGCGCGCGGTTTGCTTGCTGCTGCTGCTGCTCTTGGATGAGAGTCTGGGGGGTTAACCTGCTGCTGCGTGAGAGCCAGTGTCTGTGGCTACTGCTTTCTTCAGCAGCAGCAGCAGCAGCAGCAGCAGCAGCAGCTGACGCTTCCGCTGCGGCTGCTGCTGCTGCTTTATTCAAAGGAAGAAAACGAATAGGGGACTCTCCGGGATTTGGTGGAAATTCTTCCACATCAAAACGTGCTGCTATTTTTGCTGCTGCCCGAGCTTCCACTGCTGCTGCTGCAGCTGCTGCTGCACTCAGTGCTCCTGGCGGCGCACGCGGTACTGCAGCAAGAAATTCCTGCTGTAGCTGCAGCCGCAGCTGCAACCCCTGGCGGGACTGAGGCTGCCAAGACCAAGTATTCAGCAAACGGTGCTGCTGCTGCTGCTGCAGCTGCTGCAGCTGCTCGCTGCAGCAGCCGCCCACGGTGTAGAATGGACAGCAAAAACGGCTGTTGCTGGACCAGTCACAGTGGCTGCTGCTGCTGCTGCAGCAGCTGCTGCTGCTGCTGCATGCTCTGCTCAGGGTTATCGACGATGGTAGGGGGGCCTTGCCATGGCTCGCAGAAGCACAAGTGGGGGCACCAGCGGCAGAGACACACACTCCTGCTGCTGTTGCTGTTGTTGCTGTTGCTGGTGCTGCTGCTTCTGATGTTGCATGCATTTGCCAGGCTGTCAAGACGTCTGCTGCTGCAGCACCCGCAATTTTCGGGGACTCATGCTCGGACGCTTCTTCCTTTCCCACTGCAGCAACAGCAGCAGCAGCTGTTGCTGCTAGTGGTTGCACTTTTGCTGCCGAAAATACGAATAGCTCCTGCTGCTGCTGCAGCAGAGCCATATGACATCCAATGCCTTCTACCTGCTCCCAGAAGCCCTCCAGACATGTTTGGTCTTGCTGCTGCTGGTATATCTGTTGCTGCTGCTGCTGCAGCTGCTGCTGATACACTTGCTGCACCTGCTGCAGCTTCTGCCCTATGCCAGCATCAGCAATGCGGAAGTGCGAGGGGCCTGAACTAAGTGCAGACCCTCCTGCTGTTGCTGTTGCTGCTGCTGCTGCTGCTGCTGCCGATGGTAGATGCGAAGCGGAAAACCTGTGCCTGCCTACCCGTTGAGATGCTTCCAATGCTGCTGTTGGCGCTGCTGCTGCTGCTGCTGCTGCTGCTGCTGCTGCAGGAGCAACACCGCTCGAACAAGTGACTCTGTAGGGGACAGCAGCAGCACCGCACAGCGTCAAACGCTGCGGCAAGCTGCGGCTCTGCATCTGCTGCTGGTAGCTTTGCTGCTTCTGGTGAATTTGCTGCTGCTGCTGCTGCCTCGGAGCAACTGCTGCGCTAGCAGCTGTTCTGCTGCTGCCACCACAGCCGTTGCTGCTGCTGCTGCTGCCTCTCGTCGCCAGCGCCTTCGGAAAGGGCTCTCTCGACGCATTGCCCCGTGCACCACACAAGCGCTGCTGCTGCCACTGCTGCCAATTCTGCTGCTGCTGCTGCTGCTGCTGCTGCCTGCTGGAGGGGAGCCCTATTCTAGGAACCCGTACTGCTTGCGTCTTGAAGGGAGACTTTCTGAACACAAGAGAGCCGCCCCACAACTCCGCTGGCAGCACGAAGGGGGCGAAAGCTGCTGCTGCTGCTGCCGCTGCTGCTGCTGCTGCTGATCGATGCAGCAGCAGAAACAGCCGCGGCTTTCGCTCTTCTCGAGGCCCGTGGATCTTGTGGCAGTAATAAACTTCACACGTGCTGCAGTTACTGCTGCTGCTGCTGCAGCTGCTGCTGCTGCAGCTGCTGATGCACGTGCTGCTGCTGCTAGAGCTGCTATGGAAATCAGCACAAGAGGTACGCTTGTACACCAAGGGATGGTAATTTATTTCGTCTTGGCTATGTGCGAAGATGCAGGAAGAGCTGCAGGGCCTTGCTGCGGCTTTTGCTGTTGCTGGTTTTGCTGCAGCAGCTTTGACTACAGCAGCAGCAGCAGCAGCTGCTGCTGCTGCTGCTGCTGCCGCCGCAGCCGCCACTGCCGCCGCGGCAGCCGCACTCCCCTTTGCTGCGCCTAAATCCGTGGGAGCCGCTGTTGCCGGTGCTGCTGCTGCTGCATGCAGTGCTGCACCTGCTGTTGCTGCTGCTGCTGCTGCTGCTGCTGCTGCTGCGGCCGACTCAGCTGCAGCAGCCCTCGAGCAGAGGATCGGCAAGTACCTTAGAATGGCTACCTTTCCAGTGGAGGTTGTCGCTGCTACGACTCCTGCTGCTGCTGCAGCTTCTGTTGCTGCTGTTGCTGCAGCAGCAGCTGCTGATGCAGGCAAATCTCTAAATGAAAAGGGGGACCGACGCACCCAAACGGGGTCATGGCCATAGTTGCATTTTTCCTGGCCAAACTCACTGAAAACGCAAATAAAGCCGAAACCCTAAACCCTAAACCCTAAACCCCAAACCCTAAACCCTAAGCCCTTTACACTTTAGGGCTTTTTGTTTTGAACCCTGCAAACCGTAAACCCTAATGAAATGTCAGCGCAAGAAGTATGCGCAGAGCGAAGCCCCATCAAAGCCCCCCGCATTCTACGCTATAGGGTTCAGGGCTTAGGGATTAGGGTTTAGGGTTTAGGGATTAGGGTTTAGGGTGTAGGGTTTAGGGTTTAGGGTTTAGGGTTTAGGGTTTAGGCAGTGGTGCGTGCAGCGCCGGCAGGCCCTGGCGCAGGCCCGCATCTGCCTGTCCGCGTATGCGCGGTCAAGGGTTTGGGGTTTAGGGTTTAGGGTTTAGGGTTTTTCACAGCAGCAAACAAAAGGTCCGCTGCCCCACAGCAACTCCACATAAAAGGGTTTCTTGCTGCTAGGCTGCATGCAAAGTTGGAGGGCAACGCGCATCACGGGGAAGTGACCCTGGCGGCCGAGGGTTTAGGTTTTAGGGTTTAGGGCCTAGGGCTAGGGTTTGGAGGCCAGAGAGGCTCTTTGGCCCCTCGAGAAATAAAAAAGAAACGAACTCAGTCATTTACTTCAAGCGAAAGCTAGAAAGCCGCAGCAGCAGCAGCAGCAGCAGCAGCAGCAGCAGCAGCACTGACAGAACAGGCCAGACCAGACCGCCCCGCTGCGTTCCTGAAACGCATTCGGGAGTCGCTGGGATGCTCTTGAGGAAATAAATTATTTTAATTAAATTAAATTCATTTATTAAATTAAATTAAATTAGATTTCATTTTATTCAAAACCGGCTCTTGAATTTTCAAAAACCGGAGCACCGGGGGCTAAACAGGAGAGCACTACGGAGCGCTCCGGCGAATAATCACGTGCTATCGTCTATTTAAATGGAATAATTCATATTTAAATAAATTAATTAAGAAACTAATTTCAAATTTTTATTTATTGAAAGAAATGGCATTTTATTTGCTCCACCTTCCCCGCCCGATCTGCCTGTTAATCACTGGCGCTGCTTCGGACCCGGAGCCGCCGTGGCGCCGTGAAAAAGAGTAAAAGTGAGAAGTAAGTGAACAAAAAGAAGTAAATAAAAACAAAAAGGCTATAATTCGCAAAAATAAACATTTGGTTGATCGGTTAATCCCTTACCAAGACCCAGAAGCGCATTCAAGTGTACAGACACTCCATGTAGCGTTTGGCTGTGCGTAAAGAAACCTGAAGGAACAATTCAAATAATTATTTCTGCCATTTCTCGAATTCAAATTTAAAAAATAATCATTTTACTCAGGGTTTAGGGTTTAGCGATTTTGATTTAGGGTTTAAACAGGGTTTGCTGCTTGCCTCCTCCATGTCGCTATACTCAAATGCTCGGTGGTGGGGATTAACAACAAGTGTTTAGAGCTAGGGTTTGATATTAGAGTCTAGGGTTTAGGGTTTAGGGTTTAGGGTTTACGGTTTTTCTTTGCCTATTTCCTACAGTCTTGCTTCCTCGAGCGCCTCCGTATTGGAGCCCTAGGGCCCGAGAGAAGCAACTGCCTCCCAACTGCCAACAACAGGCACTTCACACTACGTGCAGCTAGCCACAGCTAGCCACAGCTAGCCACAACTAGACGCTTGTGGCCGTAGTTGGACACAGCTAGCCACATCTAGGCGCAGCTAGGTACAGCTGGCCACGGTTAGATGCAGCTAGCCAGAGCTAGTCACAGCTTGCTACAGCTAGCCACAACTAACCACACCTAACCACATCTAGCCACACCTAGCCACACATAGCCACACCTAGCCACACCTAGCCACAGCTA